CCCAAACTTTGTGTTCGGTGGCCGTTTTGTCGTGCCAAACAACTACCGGGCAGCCTGAGACCTCAGCGAAGGCTTGAATGAGAAGTCCATTGGCCCACGTGGTCTGCTTGGCAGCAAGGTCAAGCCACTTATCAAAGGTGGTGGCTTCTTTTTCACCCTGGCTAGAAGGAGGGGTCCAACACTCCAGGAACCTTCCGTAATGCTTCCTAACGTGTTTGACCGTGATCGTCCTCAGCCAGGCTCCCTGAGCGGTGGCCTCGGTTTCATTGAGCTCTTTACGCTTCAGGCTTGGGCTGCGGCGACACTGCGAAAGAAGCAATCACCATTGCCTTGCAAATCCCGCTCCTGGAGCGTCATTTTTTGCGGGGTTTAGTTCCTGGTCTGCCACAGTAGCAGGGCGCTGGTCAGGGTCCACATCCATTGTGCTGGACTGAGTGGTGTCCATCTGCGTTGGACAAGGTTCCTTAGGTCCCGTCAGTGATTCATCCCTTGGTCGGCTCCTACTTCTGTCTGCCTCAGGCGGAGTGGAACGCGATCTCGGGGCGGTAGTGCGTCCTCTTTTAGAGGGCGGTTCGACATCCTGCGGGGCCTTTTCCTTTGACTGGGACAAATCTTCCTGGAAATGCTTCAAGGAGGGTCCTTTGACGCTAACAGCAGCATTTGCCTTGGTTTTGGCAGCCCAGGCTTGGACATTGATGTACCAGGGCTTTTCGTCTTCGATCAAATAGCTCCAAAGGGCTTGGGTCTTTTGGTTTTCCGGGGGCATGCCTTGGCCAATCCAAGCACCGCGATGGCGATGTTTCAGCTCAAAGTTGGTCCAACCTTGGTCCTGGAAAAAGGACGTGATATCGGAGGGGTCCCATTGCTGGGGGATTCCCTGAATGGAAACAGATCTTTCTTAAGTTCGACCTCATCCGTCGCCGTCTTTGGGAGTCCAAGTTCTTGACCCCCACCGCCACGCCAGAACAGAGGTTGTTGTCGGGATTCCGCAAGGTTCCAAGCTCGACGGAAATAGGTTTCCTGGCTTTCGGCGTCAAGCTTTTTCAGCCAGAAAGGGGTAATCCCAGAGCGATCGCCGACCTTAGTGGTGAAGATCCCTTTGGTACCGCTTTTTTGAGAAGGGTCGACACAGTTTCAGGCTTTAACTTGATGTATCCCACCAGTTTTTCGCAGGAGTGTTGGGTTTGATGGGACCAAGTGCCACCAACCAAATCTCCCGTTTTCAGCCCATGTATCTGCGCCAACTGTGAGATGACGGCCGCTGGGGTGTCCTTGGCGGCACTGTCCGCAAGGAAGGGGCTCCTGAAGTGAAGCGGCGCAGTTATGCGCACCTGGGTTTTGTCCGTCTTGGGAAGGCTTGCCTTAGCAACCTTAGTGGCCGCACAAGTCCATGGTCCGGGGCTTTTGCCTAACTGTTTAAGCCACACCTGTTCAAGTTTAGACCCAAACCGGCCTCTCGAGATAGAAACTTGGGTGTTGAATCCATCTTCGCTGGTCAGATCCCAAGAGCTGAGGGCAGTAAGGGGCCCAGGGTCTCCAAAAGCGTGCAAACGGTTTGGAAAGATTTAAGCTTTGGCCGGGGGAGTGGGTTCAGGGGCCTTAGTCAAAGAGACCTGGCGAGGGGCCAATTGGGTTTTTGGGGCGTGTCCAGCTCGGCGTTTCCTAGCCAGGTCCACCAACCAGTGCTGTCAACCTGGTAGCGCTGGCCTTTCCAAGTCTCAACCCAGCTATCACTGGGCTTTTGGGTGACTCGACGGGTCGGCTGCGGTTGGTCCTGCAAAAGCTCAGAAGCCGAGCAAGATTCTGAATTTCCGGGTTGCCACCTTCGTTCAGGCATTGCTTCAGACCCTCCAGGGTAGGAGAAAGGAGTTTCAGGGCATTGGGGTCCATATCCAGTATGTACATGCCATGGGGTCTACTGATCCGTCGGTGCTTCAGGACTTTGCTGCTACGTCGCAACATAGTGCTACGCAACTTCTGTGCCATTCTGCGGTACCTTAGTCGCGCCGTCGGGAGACGTTGTCGTTCACACATGCGGCTGGCCTCAGCCCAACGTTTGGGCTGGTACCTGAGTTGTTTTTTGGGGTGTTTGGTCGGGCATAATGTGATTTTTATGTTTTCCTTCTTGTTTTTAGGTCTCTTTTTATTTGGTTTTTCGTAGGAATCCCCTTGGCGGATGCAAGTGCCGATCAAACCCATCAAAACTAGGAGCGAGAGCCTCCGGACAGAGTTTTCAACGGGTTCATCGTCAAATTCAGAATTAAAGGGAGCAGGGGTGACTTGAATCCGGGTCCCGTTACCCTTCTCAAGGTTCAGTCCTTCTCCGCAAAAGTCAAGCGCAGGCAACAGCAAGTCAGCGCTACGCGCATCGGCGCAGCACTGCTCAGTGGCAGCAGGTGTCAGCGACTGGTTCCATGGCGTCCGCACATGGAACTGTCGCTCCGCGGGGCCCAATGGGCCGGTATCGAGTTTTCCAGGAAGTTCGTATCGAGTCACAGCAGAAGCACAGCAAGGCAAAAGGAAAAACAGCCAGCACAGCCGGGCACCCTTCCCCGGGATCCCAACGAAAGTGCGGCGGCCCGGCCTTAGAGCGCTGTGCTCAGCTCCTGATTTGTTCTTGCAACCTTTGTAATTTTCTTTTTGGGCTCTTATGAGGTCTTTAACTTCGGGATTCAAAGGTGATGGTGACGCATTCGAACTCCTCCAGGAGCCCGCAGCAGCGTGGGTGTTCAAGAACACCCGGACGCTCGCCACCCAGCCGCTTGCCACATTCAACGTTTTCGGTTGCCGCTGCCACCGCGGTGAAGCCAGTTGCAGCATCCGCGCGCCGCCGCAGCAGCGCGAGTAGGTCACACTCCAGCAGCAGGCCGCTGGCGCGGCCTTCACGGGAAAGATGAGCAGTCTCTTGAAGTTGAACTCAACTCCCGGCGAAGTGGTGTCATGAACATCATGCAACCTTCTGGCCCAAAGCAAGAGTTGTTTAGTTCCAGTCACAACCTCAAGGTGCGTGGTTCCCTCTTAGTTTCAAGGCCTTGACCCTTGTTCCGTACGTGTCCTCCAAGGACCTTGGCGCAAGTGCTTACCGCTCCTGCCAAGGGTTCAAGAAGACCTCGCTTTCTGTAGGCATTTGCGGGGAGCAGTTGGGAGTTCTCCTTCAAAGCATACCTTTGGGAAAAAGGCCGACCACCAGTCCGTGGCCTCAATGAGGCTGGGGGCCGAATTGGTCGATCGTCCATCCAAATGAAATGGCTGAGGTTCGCCGATTGGTGGTAGGTGTCCAAGAAGATGGAGGCCAGGAACCTCAGACAGTTCATGGCCAAGGGGCTGCATGGGTCGCTTTGGGGAATGCTTGAGCACCTGATCTCGATTCCGGGACATCCAACGCTTTTGATGGGTCCATTGGAAGGTCAAAAGGGGTGCAACCCAAGGGTTTTCATGCAGTGGCCGGCTACAACCGGGTCATCTTGATCGAAGGCCTGACTCAGATCCAAGGTTGCGAAGTAACCCTTGTGTTTGAGTTGTTCCTGCATCTCAGAAAGGACCTGCTCAGCACCACGGCTTCCTGGGCCACCAAGGATGCATCTCGGCAAGGTGGCTTTGTGCCAAGCTTTCATGGGCTCCGATTGGTTGCACATGCTACCATAGAGTCTCCACCAGTACATTGATGGGTCTCGTGTGCTTGACATCAAGCTTAAAATCGCAGATTTTGTTGGGCTTGGGGATGTTGGCCTGCCTGCTATGCAGCAGGCATGCGGTTTGACCAAGAGTTTCCCGCCTACTAGTCAGCAGATGGAAGAGCTCCATACAGGGCTTAGGAAGGGTCCTGAGCTCCGCGCAAGACCACAGTCAGGCTTAGCTGTTCCCATTCAGTTTGGCTCTGGCCGCGAGGAGGTTTTTCAAGGAAGGTCGGTCGCCCACGAAGTCATGGGCCTCAGGGCTGGGAAGGGTGGTGATCTCCTCTTTTTGTTCATCCTTAGAAAGGGTGCCAGGGTCGCTGGCGTTCCAAACCTCGGTCCCATGCTTAGCAGTGGCTTGCACCGTGTTCGCATGACCCAACAGTTCACAGCCATCTGCCACCACTGTTGGTGCAAGGCTGAAACCTCCTTTGCGAATCCACTGGTGTCTGGCCAGGATGCTATGGCGCATGTTACGTTTCCACTCCTGTATGTGAAAGCGTTTCTGTTCGGCTTGAAGCTGCATCAAAGCCTGGTGGGTCGTGTGTGCTTTGCGCGTGACCTCGGCCAACATGCGTTCGCGGGTGTCAGCTGGCATACCAAGTTTGGCACACAGTCTGCTGATCTCGGGCTGGTGGCAAGGGTTGTCTTCCTTTGAAAGGAGTTGCTGAAGGCGAGCCAGTTTGTTGGTTTGATTCCCCCGTCGTCGCATGGCCATGGTGCCTGGGTTGCGTTGGTCGCGCCCGGAGACCATGATATGTCGCGGTTCCTGGTCGCGTGGCTTGTTGTGCTTGTGGGTAGCCAACCAAATTTGGAGCTGCTGGCTTGGGTTGCACATTCAACGCGACCCTGCAGTCAGGCTCCGGCGAGACGTGCTCCAAAGCGCTGCGCCTGCCACAAAAATCGACGTGCGACCCTCCCTGCCACGAAACCCTCGTGTGACCATCCAAAATACTGCGCGCAAATCAGCGTTTCCGGTGAGACTTGCCCCCAGCGCTGCGCCTGTGCTGCCTTCAAAGTGCCGCGCCTGTCACGCAAAGTGAGCTTCAAACGAAGCAACAAGCGCTCGACGTACTGCGCCTGTCACGACATCCAAGTTTGATACAAATCGCACATTCTGAGCCTTCCCAAACGGCACGGAAACTTTCGGACCGCTGGCGACCGCTTGCGGACGCAGCGACGCATCTGGCGAACACATGCTGACTCCAGGCCCCTTTCTAAAACGAGAACCCTTCTGATACACATTCGGCGAAAATGACAATGTTGGGAGATTCCCAAAATAGGGAATACCTAACTCCTGGGTACACTGTTGGCTTTCCAAGAAGCTCAGCCAGCGCCGTGGCCCGCGCTTGCCTGGTCAAGAGTCTCGGTCCTATTCGGCCCCTATTGGGGGTCGGGGGTGTTCTTTGAGGGTACCCGGCTTTGGGGTTTCGGAGGAAAACCACATAGAACCACCCTTTTGGCGGGTCTCCGGTCTCCTTAGTTTGACACCTACCCAAGGACGAAACAAACGCGTGCTAAGTAGGCGGCTGTTGTAGCGCCCAGGTCTCAAATTGAGTGGTTTTGATTTCGACGGTAGGTGCACAGAGCTCAATCGCCCGCCAACAAAGAGGATCGTGAACCAGTGGCCTGCCGCCGAGCCGTTCAAGAGCAACTCGGTGCGCAGGTAGCACCTAAGAGATGGCCGATTTGTTTGAACACTCAGCATGGAAGATCCCCTCCGGCACAGAAGGTTGGGGATTGTTGGTTTGAATTGGTGGTTTGGTGGTTTGGGAGTTCCCAGCTATCCTCTACAAGAACTAGGGGTTCACCAATTGAGAGAAACCTGATTTGTTGGTTGAAAGGAACACCACAGGGGGGAAGGGGACCTCCGGGCGCGCGGACAGCAGGTAGGCCACGTGGTTGGCGCCCAGCATCAGGTATCCTCCAGCCTCGTATCCCCAAAGTTTGCACGCGCCGTGTGCCGATTGGAGCAGGCATCGAAAATCGAGAAAAACATAAGAAAAAACAAGAGCAGGAAATCATGTTGACCCCACAACCCCATAGCCGCCCCCGTTTCCGCGCCCGATGGGGCCCCGTTTTTGCTTTCTTTCACGGTACCCCCCATGTATCAGAGGTCGACTAAGCCCAAAAAGTTTTGTTTGCCGGCGCCCTCGTGAGGGGGGCGCATGATTGGGACGCGCCCGGCGTCCTGTGGGCCTGTGAGTCACGAAAGCCTTTAATCCGACAAGCAAGGGAGCAAGACTCAAAAGACACATCCAATACACACAGCTTTCTTGCTTGGCAAGCCCTGAGTCATCATCTTTTTGGGCAAGCTACTAAAAATGACGAACCGGAAACAAGGGCCTTCATCATGTGAGATCGTGGTAGTGGCCCCAATTTTTGCGGGCCCGTGCAAACGTCCTGCCAAAGGAAATCTCCTCCCATATCCTATGCCCAGGCAAATTTCCTGGTCCCATCTTAGTTCGATTTGGAAAGTAGTGGGCTCAGTGGTTTTCAGGGTTGGTTTATCTTGTGTAAACAAACGCCCCACCCCACGGCTAACCCGCAGAATTCACTGGATTTCCCCTTGCATTAACTAATGTACAAGTGGTCTCTCTATGGACACGATCGCCGCTTGAGGTTCCAAAACGGGAAACCACAGCCAACCGCGTCCGGCCAGGGGCTCCCAGCATCATCCCCCAGGGGCGAGAAGCCGTGGCTGGCGGGCACCAACGCAAACTGCTGCCACCTCGAACCACGGACTGGGACGCAAGGGATGACCGGAACCCAAAGAAGAAATCTAGACCTACCAGAACCCTATATAACGTCCAAAAAAAGCAGTGAGCAGATCCCAAGTCCCTTTAGAGGGGCAGAAATTGATGGAACGACCATCTAAGTAATGAGGCAACATACACGTGCATGTATAAAAGTATATGCAGGTATTATACGCAATGGGAATGTGCTTGCAAAAATCGCGAAAAACCTAGGCACGTAGGCATTCCCCGAACAGTCTCACTTCACGGGTTCCTTAGTCCCGTCTGAGGAAGCCCGTTCAGCATGGTTTGCGAACTGCCAGGTCAAGGAATTCGATAGAACTCCTTGACCTGAATGTGGGTTGGTGTCCAAGCTCGAAGGGGGACAAGCTTTGAGCTTTGAAAAGCAGGGCACACCGCTGTTTGGCTATTTCCCTTGAGCCCCAAACTGGGTTCCATGGAAAAAAGGGGGGCACCCTCTTTTGGTAGGATTTCAACGGCGGCTTCCCCCTTTAAAAACGCGGGGGAGGATGCAGGAACTCTCGTTTGAGGCCGTGGCAGCTGCACAGCGGTGTCTTGCAACCTGAAGAATAAGTCGAGCCGAGCGATTTGTTGCCCTCGCACCAATTCACATGGAACCTGACAGGGGTGTCCTGGAAGACCATGTTCCAGTTGAAGGACCCCCTGCCAGGTTCCGTGATAATTGGTGCGAGGGTAAGGGAAACTCGATTGCCTTGCTTTCGAACCCAGGGTTTCCCCGCTTCGATTTTGAACTGTTGATATTTCTATCTAGGCGTTTTTGGGGTTTAGATAGGGGCTTCGCCCCACTGGAGTGGCGGTAGGCGTCAACCCCTTTCTGTGATACCAAAGTGGCTGATGTGCACCCAACGATGGCTAGTTACCACTTCAACCACTTCAAAGGTGAACCCCTTGGGTTCTTCGCATTCCATGGTTCATGCAGGTGAAAAAGAATGGGACTCCATGAGTATAGCAATAGACCCCTTGTTGATTCATAGGCAAAGCGATCTAAGACTGATCTAAGTGGAGAATAATACATACACACACACAGCCTATGTTTCTCCGCAAGGCTCTGCCAAAGTCCAAAATCCGGGGCCGGCACTACCTTCCCATTCCGATCCTAAGCATGGGCCCCATGTTCTTCCCAACCCTCGGCAGCCAAGAACTCCACCTCTCTTTGTTTTTGTTTGGCCGGGGGCTGCCAAAAAAGATGAAAATTCCTTTCCATGGCAGCCAAGAACTCCCACTTTTTGTTTTTGGCCGCCCCCTGCCAACAAAAAAAAAAGAGAGTGAAAAGCCGGTGGCCGGAAAAGCGACAAAACAAAACAAACAAACAAAACAACTAAAACAAAACAACTAAACAAGTGAGAAAAAAAAAACTAAACACATGCCCACCCTGAAAGCTGGCTTCAGCTCGGGCCCCGAGCTCCGCCGCTGTGGCGCTCAGGGCGTCAAAGTCGTGCAGGCCGAGGCCCACCTGAAAAAAGCGTCCGGGGAGATGACTGGTGACCTGGGTGGCAGCTTGTTGTTTTCTTCTTTGTGTTGATTTTTGTTGTTTTTTTCTTGTGTGTTGTTGGCTTGTTGTTTGTTTTTATGTACAATATATATATATATATATGTGTGTGTGTACATGTATTTTGTGATGGGGGGGGGGAGCAAAATGGCGGTTTTCCTTTGGGGCGTCTCTTTGCCGCACAAAAAGTGGGCACCACCCAACCAAAAAGAAGTATACTGTGTACTCTGGGCCTACAAACCTCGAACGCCTCTCTCAAGCGATCAGGCCATGGCCGGCGACTGGTTGGAAGCCCCTCTGCGATCACCTTTTGTGGGCTCCAAGGCTTCAGACGATCGGCACCGGAGGTCCACCAAAAAGGTAAGAGGTCAAACAAAATTCGGGGGTGGGACTTGGTTGACCTTGGGCTAGGGGAGCAAAAACTCAAAAAACTTAGCAGTTCATAGCAGTTCAGTGGATTTGGATTTCAACCACTAAACCACAATAAGCAAAAATCTAAAATATGTCCCAACAACAACCATGAGAACAGGTCCGGATTGGTTGAAACAACGTGGGGGTGTTGCCCCATCTCCATGCATTTGCCCCCTTCTACCCACCAAAGGGAAAATATATGGGGCAGGAACCGCCCGACATTTCGGCAGGTTGGAAATGCGTGTTTTGCCACTTGGCGGCCGCAAGACAGTAAGAGGTCCCCAGTTGAAGACCCTTCTTCGCGCTGGATATTCTTTGTTGCCCAAGGGGCAAGGGGAAACATTGGGTCAACCTGGTTGTGCGACGACTGGCTTCCACATCACTCACATGAGTGCCAGGACGGCCTAAGGCCGACAGAAGAAACTACCCGATTCAAAATACGAAAGCCAGGAACCAGCCAAAAAACCGGAAAGGATCCCAAAGGGAAACTCCTCCCACAAACGGTCATGTTTGCGGGACACCTTAATCTTCGGCGAGTAGAGACGTTCCCTTGCAAGATCCTTCCTTAAAAACATTGGCAATCACATGTCGCGCTGGCCAAAGGGTTCAACTGCAGCTCTGCCCACTTTCGTCACCGAGATTGATTTCCAGAACGTCAAGGGGAGAAACACTGCTAATTACTCTGCTCAAGCCATAGCTGCATCCGTAAACCAGTCAGCCCACGATACCTACATTCCAAAGCAAACGCGTTGAACACTCCCGCGACTCCCAGGGCCGCAAAAGGGGAACTACAGGTGCGGATTGATTTTGGGACTTTTTTTCGTGTGTGTTTTTCCCGTCTTGGCCAGTAAAATTGTACACTAGCCTGTCAACATCCCAGCACTGTTTTCAACATCCCCCGCATGTCCAACCAGCATCCCCTGCATCACCAACAAATTGTGGGTAAAACAATCTAAGAAGTAGTTGACGAGTCAACGGGGTCGGAAAAATGATGATTCAAATAGGAGGGCATTTCAATCACTGCAAAAAATCTAAAAAGTAGCGGGGGCCCCGCCCCCCCATGATGTTCGAAGAAGTGATGATTCAAATACGGGTGTAATTGAATCTCTGTAGAAAAATCTAAAAAGTAGCGGGGAGGTTGGGGGGGGCAGCCCCCCGCATGATGTTCGAAGAAGTGATGATTCAACTAGGGGTGCAATTAAATCTCCGTACAAACTGTAAAAAGTGGCGGGGGGGTTGGGGGGCGGGGCAGCCCCCCCTGATGATGTTCGAAAAGTGATGATTCAATGAGGGGTGAATGATTCAAGAGGCTGGCGGGGGTGGCGTCCCCTATGATGCTCGAAGAAGTGCATACATACAATCACACATACATGCAAACACATGAACAAAAATACTAAGAACACTTGCCGGAGAGGAACTGGTGATAAAAAGCCCGGAGACGGAACTGGGAAAGCAGAGGATGCGAAAAGCCAAAGCCAGCAAAAAAAGCCGCAAAAGCCAAAACGCCACCTGCCGGAGAGGAACTGGGAATGCAGAGGATGCGAAAGCCAAAGCCGAACAGCCAAGAAGCCAAGAAGCCGAGAAGCCAAAAAGCCAAGAAGCCGAAAAGCCAAGAAGCCAAAAGAAAACTAAAAAAATACTCCTTCAAAGGGGAAGGTCTCTTCGGTTAGTTGGCGGGAGAGCAACACCACTGTGGCATTTGGAAGTCGATCAACCATGATGTGTTTGATTCTGCTCCATATTCAGCAAACCTCCACCAAAAGTAAAATATTCAAACAGACCTCAAACAAGATCTAAGCATGCCGTAACCAATGCCAATGCCGCCACCGACTACTTCTTAATTCCGCCGGAGCCGCATTCAGGCTCTGCAGCTTTTGCGCGAAGACATTGGGACCCTGCTGCACCTGAGCATGAGCAGCATGTCAACGAGGTCTGGAAAAAGGATTGCCCCTCCCAATTTCCATAGAGAAAGTTCATTCAATTGCCTGACGACATTAAGATTCATTTATATAGCTCAAACATCTGCGTCTGGACAACAACACTTTTCTTCTTTGGGTGTCCAGGAAAAAATCCTGCAGAACATCCGCCCCTTCCTTCCTTTTCTGCGATTCCGCCGTTTGACGTGGAACACAAAAAGGGGTCCAAACAATGCATGTTCCTCAAAAATCAATGGGTTTTAGGAAAATGAACCAGGGTTTTTGGACATTGTTTGAGACAAGCCCAAATGTTCCCGAGATAACGCCACGAAGCAAGCTCGAGCGGCTCTTCCAAGCCCCCGTATTCAATAGCTAACAGGTGACTTCATACCAAGGCAAGGAGGTGCCGCCTTTCTATGTGCCAATGCCTACCTAAACCAGATTACCCCTTCCGGGCCACGGGGTGCGGCGCTTGGCATGGCGGCACCTGACCCAAGCTGCTTGACGGCTGTTGGCAGTTTCTTTGAGCCCCGACGTGGTCGCTCTTTCTGTTGCCAACAGACTTTGTGGCATGCGAGGGTAAAGGCCCGCACGAACTAACTGCGAGTTCTGCTTCATTTTGGGCGAGAGAAGGTTCAGGCCTGGCTGGACCCATTGCCCCAACGGGACAGCTCGCACCGCCCAACCCAGGAGGCCGTCGTTGTCCATCTGTTTGCCGCCGACGTGGGCCGCTGGCCGCATGAAGAGATAGGACCCACTCCCTTGCAGACTCATGCTTCCGGAGTTGAAGCTCCGCATTCTGGCGAAGCTACCCCCAATCCAAACCACCAATCCAAACCACCAATATTAGACAGAAGCCGCATTTGGATGCTTTTTGGGGGGTGTCCGGAATCTGTTGAAAGGGAAGCCCGGTATGGAGACCAACCACTGTGGGGTTCCATGTTGAGACAAACCCACATGGCTCACAGGGAAGCGGATTCGATTTGAGCCGGCCGCCCCCGCAGCACCCCTCCCGGCAAAGTCCCGGGCGACCTTCACCAAACCGTCCGGGGCAGCGCCCCCGGAGGCGTGGTGCCGGGCCTGAGACGCGATGTCGAGGTCTCCAAATTGGCGGGGTTTGCCGTTTTGTTTGTTTGTTTAGTTTGTTTGTTTGATTGATTGATTGATTGATTGATTGTATGTGTTTGATTGTTTTTGTTTGTTTTTGTTTGCTCTTGTTTGTCTATTTGTTTTTGTTTGGTTGGTTGGTTGGTTGGTTGGTGGGTTGGTTGGTTGGTTGGTTGGTTGGTTGGTTGGTTGGTTGGTTGGTTAGTTGGTTGGTGGGTTGGTGGGTTGGTGGGTTGGTGGGTTGGTGGGTTGGTGGGTTGGTGGGTTGGTGGGTTGGTTGGTTGGTTGGTTGGTTGGTTGCTTGGTTGGTTGGTTGGTGGGTGGGTGGGTGGGTGGGTGGGTGGGTGGGTGGGTTGGTTGGTTGGTTGGTGGGTGGGTGGGTGGGTTGGTTGGTTGGTTGGTGGATGGGTGGGTTGGTTGGTCGGTTGGCGGGTTGGTCGGTTGGCGGGTTGGTTTTGGTTTGGTTGGTTGCTTTGTTTGCGTATGACTTTTCCTCAGAGCCCGTGTGGTGCACATCAAATACAGTGGGAGTCATGTCCACCAACCATCTTCAGGGATTCACATCTACCTCCCCCCTTCCCCCACAAAAAAGGAGATACATATATTATACATCAAAACCTGGCAGACCCTGGGCAGAAGCGGGGGCTTCCCCAGTTGGAACCACTCGCCCCGCTCCACAAGTCCGTTTCCTTGAGTTCCGTCTGACCGGGGACCCGGCGTACTCCATCACCACCTCCGGCTGCGTGGCCAGCACCTGCCACATCCAACCAGCGAAGGTCGACGCTTCCCCGAAAGGGCGGACCCCACAGTTTGTGGAAAAAACAAATATTACATGAGGGTCAGTGTTTAAAAACAGAAAAAGGTTTATTCATTGGGGGCTACATTTTTTTAGAAGGAACAAAACCGGATTGTTGATTGGGGGTGTCCCCGGGTTTCGCGGGGAATCATCACGTTAGGGGAACACCCCCCTATTAACAAACTGGGGTTGATCAACATGGGGTCAACATTCTCGTGGTTTTGCTTTTGACCCCCCTGCAAATGATTTTTTTGACTCGTGGGTCCAATGGGACATCCACTTCCCAAAAAGTCCAAGTCCAAAGATCTTCAGCCAAATGGCTGTGGCTCAAAAAACCGGTACCAAAATGAAACCCTGGTAAGTGGAAACATGGACCAAAACCTGCGTAACCCCTCCTGGTGAATTTTGAGCCACACCCAAATAGCCACAAAGCTATTTGCTGGTTTGGAGCCCGGCGGTTTCGAGGCGTTCCGACGGGACAACCCCCCCTTACCCACAAGAACCAGCGGTTCAAATTCCCAAACCACCGATTGAGGGGGACCTGACAAATGGTTTGTGGCGGTAAAAAACAAGTCTGAGATGCCCAAACGCCTCCCCAAGATACAACTTGCCTAAGGCCGGTCAAAAAAAGAGATGTTCTAATCAAAGATTCCCGCCTACAAACCGCCAGGCTGGAAACGGAAGCCTTGTTTCGGGCATGGTTGCTCCCATTCGCCCCTTTGCGCCTGATTCTGCGTTCACCCTTGTCCGGCATGGAAGAGTGACATCCCCCCTCAGACACCATAACCATTGGTTGATCACTTTCATGGGGATTCTTGGCCCTAAACCCGAACTTTCTAAACTAAACACTTTGCACAACCGCATCCACAAGGAAACTTGCCGAAATTGGTCCGACAAGCGCTTCAACTCCGCCAAACTACGCAGCCTTGACACCCCGGGCTGGAATCGCCAAATCTCTCAAAATCGGCGCTGGAGTAGTGGGGGATCTTTTGGGTTGGCAGCTGCAAAAATCCCCACCATATTCTGGGCGCGTCTGTTGGGGGGACCCCTGAAACTTGAGGAGCGGGTGAACGAAAGCTAGCAGTTGCTGCATGAGATGGGTCGGTGACAGAGTGGATTCATAGGTAGCTTGTGTACAACGAGAGGCCCGGCAAGATTCGTAGGATGCGACACGCAAACGCACATGGTGGCGTGGCAAACCTTGAAAAATGAAAACAACGAGAGGCGTCAGAAGCTGTCTTAAAGCACCTCTGGGTTCTGCATGCTGCGTGTGCAAAGATTCTTGCGAGGTGGTTTACTGAGAAGACTGAGGTCTCAAATGAACAAGCTGAATCGGTGGAACATGTAAAAGTTCGTAGCACCAAGTCCAAAACGGGCAAACCGAGACTGCTGAAACACTGAGCCACTGGGTGGACCAAGGAGGAATCGAGCCTGAGACGGGGGGGGGGGGAGGGGGGGGTCTAAATAATTGATTTTTTTCAATCTTTTCGGCTCAAATAATTGAAAAAATCAATCTTTCGGCAGTTGAGCCCCTTACCTTGCTTACGCAAGGAGAAACTTCAGCTAGCTAAAGCTAGCTTTCGTGAATAAACCAAACCGAAACCGGGGAGGGTCTCCGGCTGCCCCGGCGCCCCGGCGGGCCACTCGCCTCTGCAAAGGTCGAGGGCAGCTCCGCCAGGTCCAACCTGCCGAGCGGATTGCGGATTTTCCGATGCGTGTAGACGTTGTTTTTTTTTGGTGGGGTTTGGTTGAAAAGAACAACCACGAGTATGGTGGTTGTGTTGGTGGTTGTGCTGGTGGTTTTGTTGGTGGTTTTGTTAGTGGTTGTGCTGGTGGTTTTGTTGGTGGTTTTGTTAGTGGTTTTGTTGGTGGTTTTGTTGGTGGTTTTGTTGGTGGTTTTGTTGGTGGTTGTGTTGGTGGTTGGTCTTTTTGTTGATGTTTTGTCCCTGGGTATTGTTTTCTGTCCCTTAAGAAATACCAGTGGGGTTCTTGTGGTTGGCTGTTAGAAAACCATTGGGCTGCTAAACCTCTCTTTTTGTGCTTGTCTGGCTTCTTGCCTTTGCGACCTTGTTTTGAAGATTTCTGTCTGGCTGCGTCTTGCTGAGTTTGGCCTTGTATGTCGCTTTAATTTGGAAGCTTCATGTCTGCTCTTGTTTGCTTCCGTTTGCTGTGCGTTTGGTGAATGGTTCCGCTCCCCCCTTTGGCAACCACCAAGAGGCTCCTTTTCTGTTGCCACTTTTGGCATTCCCTGAATGCTTCTTTGTAAACATCACTGACCCCAAGCAAACTCATAGCTCGGCCAAAAGTTGATATTGCAACTTTCAAACCGCACAAACGGAGGGGCACTTTGGGGAACCCTGATGGCCGGACCCCTGAGACGTGTAGAAGCCTGGGCGGAGTCGTTGGATCCCGTGTTTGCTGTGAAAATTACCCCCCCCCCCCCCGAAAAACATGAAACACACACACACACACCAAAAAAAGGAAGGAGAGATCCTGAAAAAAAAACATCGGCCAACCACTCACCCCCCCCCCCCAAATAAGATTGGCCTTTCTTCGGGGGCCCCGGCGGAAGGTCCTGGAACTCCTGGCTGGAGCCGCCGAAGCACAGCATGTGCACCTCGCAAGCCGACAGCCGCCCCTCCCTCCCTCCAAGGTCCCCGGACCCCAAGGCCCCCCAAACCGAAAGCGGCGTCCGCTTGGCGGGAAAAAACTGTGGGGTTTGTAGTGCCCTTCCACATGATCCGGCATCCTCCAAAGAGACAATGAGCTTGTATGGGCGTTTACCTGTTATCTTTACCCAACTCAAGATCCTATGTCCGAGCATCGTCTCCAGGACTAGCAGCAGAAACTGCAAGCTCGCAGACTCCCGCTTCGTGAGCCATCGAGTTCCAAGGCAAGGCGGCCGGGATTTCTCCTATCGGGCAGCCACATCAGAATCCTAAAGCCGATCGAAACGCACAATAATCTGTCAGGTGCGATCGTATGACACACCCACACACACACACTCACCAACACACACCAACACACCAACACACCAACACACCAACACACCAACACACCAACACACCAACACACCAACACACCAACACTCCTCCAACACTCCAACACTCCAACACTCCAACACTCCAACACTCCAACACTCCAACACACACACACACACACACACACACACACACACACACACACCACACACCACACAACACACAACACACAACACACAACACACAGCACACAACACACAACGCACAACGCACAACGCACAACGCACAACGCACAACGCACAACACACAACACACAACACACAACACACAACACACAACACACACAACGCACAACGCACAACACACAACGCACAACACACAACACACAACACACAACACACAACACACACAACACACAACACACAACACACAACACACAACACACAACACACAACACACAACACACAACACACAACGCACAACACACACCACACACCACACAACACACAACGCACAACACACAACACACAACACACGTCCACTCTCCTGCAAATGGACGCTTGCAACCAGGTTCGCGTTCCCACCTCACCTGGCTTGAACCTACAGCAACTCTTCAGGGAATATGTGGAGGTGAAGGCTTGAACGTATGGCCATCAGAAGCACATGGCACAGGGCCCCATTCCTCAATACCAGGCCTGTACACTGACGGGTGAAGGCCTGAGTAGCCTCAAACACCTGCCTGCGCTGTGTCAGTGGAACCCTCCGCCCCCGCTAGATGTCACATTTTGGGTTTCCGGACCGCGTGCCCGAGCTCGTGCGCCTTGGCTCCATGCGAACGTCCATGTGAATGGACTACAATAAGCCGAAGCCCTCCGCATGTTGAAAGAAAGCCTTGGGCACAGAGGTAGATGCATCTGGGCAAAGTACGCATTCCCAGAGAGGTAATTTAGGATCTTGCTTGAAGGACCTTCATGGATCGGCTCCTTCAACGCGAGCTCGGTTTAGACGGTGCAGAGCCGTACATGCCCTAAAGCTCACGGAGCGAGAACACAACCCAACTCAAGCCAAACCCCAGCCATCCAGATGTGTTCTCTGATCGTCTCAAATTCCAAACAACCAGGGACCCCGCATTTCTGGCATGTGGCATCAAACCCAAGCCCAGCCCGTCGGCACTAGGATGCGGGCCATGGTCACCGCGTCATCCGGTGTCAGCAACCTCGGCCAAGTTCCCGAAACGTCCCGCTCAACCAACGCGCCAAAGCAAACTCGCACTGGCCCACAAAACGACGATTGAATCCAAATTGAGAAACTTTGACTGTCAGATTTCAAGTGCCGCTTAGCTACTGCAGCCTGTCAATCTCATTTTTTACTAGACCCGCGCCCTGCCTCGGACAAAAAATGGGCGGGTATCCAAAACAAGCTCAACCTTTATGTGAGCGGGCAAACGTGCCCAGAAAGTGTTATACAACATCAACACCACGTGTGATGCTCATGGCTGTTGTGCCCGGCACAAAGTAGCAACTCACTTTCAACCCAAAAATGATAGTTGCTGCCTTGCTCGGGGGCAAGGGTAAAGCCATCATGGTGTCAAAGTATGTGTTGTTCATCTTGTCTTGTGCGTTTCTTTGCTCAAATGCCCAGTGGCCATGGGAAACAAAATGCCTTTTTTTGGTTGGTTGAGTTTCAAGGGGAACCCTTCCCCAAAAAAATAAAAAGGGCGCCACTGAGCAACTGGGTTTGTCTCAGACGTCCTCTTTGGTTGGAGCGAATTCCCCCCCCCCTCCCGCCCCCTCCCAAGAAAGGCGCTAAGAGCCGGGGCTTGGTGGCATGCATCGAGGGCGCCTGCAACTGCAAACCTGCCAGAGCCATGGCCCGGGGAGCCACTTCCGCTTGAGTTCCATTGGGGGGGGGGGGCCAACCCAAGAGAGCATAACAAAGGAAGTAAATTTGGGAAAATTGATTAGGGAAGTTGGGTGGGGTTGGTTGGTTGGGTGGGTGGGTTTGTTTAGGGTTGGTTTAGGGTTGGTTTCGGGTTGGTTGAGGGTTGGTTTACAGTTGGTTTAGGTTGGCTTAGGGGTTGGTTTAAGGTTGATTTAGGGTTGGTTTAGGATTTGGGTTAAGGGTTAGGGGCGTAGGATTGGTTTAGGGTTGGGGTTTGGGGGTTGGTTGTGGGTTAAGTTGTCCTACGTGTCGGGATGCAAGGGTGCGAGTTCAGGGGGTGCGGGGGGGTGGGGGGGGGACTCTAATCTTGGGGGGGGGGTTGGTGGCCTGGGGACTGGAACATATATCCCTGCGAATGGCAAAGGGGTAAGGCCTGTGGTTGAAACCTAGACATCCTAGACCGATAATCTATGTTCCACCATCCTCATGTGTGTAGGTCTAACATGTGCTTCTTGGGATGACTTGGAAGCACATTCATGCAGGCCGAGTGGGAATGCGAATGAATGATGGGGGTAAGAGGGACTCTGGAAACAAACCGGAGTTGACACAGCTTGACAGCATCGGGGCGTTGTTTTTTTTCCGCTTCGCATTGGCGCTCTGGGCAAAGCTGCCAGTCAACCGTGCGGTTAACATTTGGCCAACCGGCAGCCATATGAATGTGTTCTGCAAACTTGTGCGGTCTACAGGGCGTTTTGGGTTGAACATGAAGTTGTGCCCCTAAAATAGGGTAGAAATCATGTTTGAGGGCGTCCCAGGCTCGACAATGTGTTCTGCCCAAAACTGACAACCCTGACATAGAATTATCTTGAGAATGAAAAATGTCTCTTCTGCACGGCTTCCCTTTTCATTAATCCCAAACAGGTTGCCGTCAAAAAAACATCATACATTCCCACAACGGAAATGAGGGTTCTGTCGTCCCACAATCTTTTGCAGAGGGAAGATGTACATTTCCAAAGAGGTCCAAGGTTGAAAGCCCAAGCAAACCTTGCAAGTAATAGTACTTGTGGTGGCAGAGCCCGCACACGCCGGTGCGGAGTGTAGAGAAGCCCGCAGAAAACGCCCACCGAAGAAGTGGAACACAGCCAGCTTACGTGGCAGGGGAAACAAAAACACCTTCTAGGAGAAAACAATCCGTGGGTGAAGCCCCACTTCCCGAGCTAACCGCCCGACCCGACCCTTGGCCTAGGTAGACGTGGCCGGGCGCCAACAGCAGGGCCCCAGGAGTCATCGGGCGGGTCCTGGGGTTCCCCATCCCAGAAACCCAAGGGCCATGGGAAAGAAGACCGTTTACTTGGCTGACCATCTTCCATTTGCGTTCTTGTCCCCTGGAAAAATACAAAAGCAGTGATAGGTTCCCTTTGAAGCCAAGCGGGGAAAATAACAGCCTTGAGCAAATGGAAGCCATGATTGGTCAATTGAAAAACCCAAAGAAAACAAGGTGCCACTGGACAACTGGTTTGGTGGTTGAGCCAAATGGTAAGGCTACATTTGCTGTTGGTTGCTTGTGAGTGGCTTAGCTTCAAGTGTGGGGAACCCGCAAAGGCGCCGGCTTTTGGAGGAACTTCCCGTGGATGATCAAACTATGAAACAAACCCCGGTTTCAAGCGAGGATCCTCAAAAAGGTGGGCAAAAGGATGATGCTCGCCATGGCCAAGCGCCAAACACAAAAATGCACCACGCGGCCTTCGCAGGCTGGGGCAAGGAGACCAAAACCCGAGCCGAGACTTGGCCGCCACGCCCCTGCCACGACAAGTAGAGCTCCACCTGGGCGTCGGCCACCACTTGGAGCGGGCGGAGTGGCTTGGGCGGAGCTTGGCTCGTTGGGCGGGTAAGGGCTCTCGAGCCACGGCAAAAAAAATGCTCCCCCGAATTGGTAATTTGGAGCCCCTGGTTGCGGAGGGTAATGGGCAATGAACCCCTAACCTCTAAACCACCGTTCCAAACCACCACCTAGAGGGAAAAGCAGGGAAAACACACCCGGGTCGAACAAAACATCATCTTTAGCGCATTCATGCGGACCTGGAAATAGGTGACTCATGTACCCGCCTGTGGTCAACAGCTCGGCGACTTAATATGCACCCCTTTTTTTCCTCAGCATCACCCCACCAACAGGAAAGTCACTCGAAAAGGCCCCAATTTGCAACACGTATGCTCGGGAAGCCTTACTTCAAGGTTGCCAACGCACGTCACGGTCGTGGTTTTCAGTCCAGGCAACACATGCTTGACCCTCCGACCCTCCCACAAACCGAGACGAAACTTGAGTCCGGGCAACTGGAAGCCGTGGCAAGAGTGGGAGGGTGTGCGGCGCTTCGCCCATCACCCCAAATCGTCACTAGCCACTACCAGGTTGCGCTGCAATGGCTCCCCTACGGCCCTGGATCATGTCTCGCAGGTTTGCACGACCCCGGCCATGGCATGGCCAGCTAGCTGGAAAATTACCTAGTATTGGTAATACACGCGGCGCAACATTTGTTGAAATCCAGCACGGCAGCCTAACCTCCAACCCCAACTCTAAGCATTGCTAAAGACAGGGTGAATTGGAGAATTGCGAGGAAATACTAGCAGATACTAGCAGTGCGTCAAACCAGGGTGGGGGAGAAAACAAATGAGCCAGCCACTCACACAAGGCATCTTTGCAAACATTATGCTGCTAGCAGCGCACCATGCATTTCAACTATTCCAACTGCGGGATACTCCTGGACGATCTATACATTTATAAAGCCCCCAAAACCTCCACAGCTTCTGTGTTTTTTGGAGGTTTGGAGCAAGTGTAGATACATGAGGATACACCAAATGGATTCAAAATGGGTTCTGGGATGCTTCACACATTGGTGCACGTACTCGGACCCTGTTGCCCGCCAAACGGTCCCCTACCTCCTCTCCACCACATTGGCAAACGGACTGAAATAGAACCCATCTAAACCATAGGAACCCATCTATTTCCAAGCGAATCAACCTAAAAAGGCCATCTATGGCTCCCCCCAGGTAGATTCCACCCGTGGGGTCAGTAAACCAAGAATGCCTCGAAGCTCCCCCGTGCGCCCGCGCGTATACATACCCCAGCCGCCGCCCATCGCCCTTGCTGCCAATGGGTGGCCTGGGCCAAAGGTGTCCAGGGCGGGGTGCGGGCCCGGAAACATGGCCAAAAAGAGGGCGCCCTGTGCATGTAGCATTCTGCCACATGTGCTGTTCCAAATGTTTCAACATTTCAGAGGTGCAGCTTGGAGATGTGTTCAATGGTCATTACCTCACTGGATCTGAGTGAGCCTTGATTTATGGTGGTCTTGTACTGCCTGTACATCAACCTAGGCAATAGCCCTTCATGGCACTCGAATCGGAGGGCATGAGCTATGCCTCCCTCAAGGATGTATGCGTTGTGCGTGTGATGCGGTGGTCTCGCCAGAGCTCCGCGGATTCTAAACCAAACAAACAACCCATCTATCTGTGCACATAATTCTTCCTGATCTGTCTGGCTTGCTGATTTGCTTTGAGGACAATCAATGTTGAGCAGCGCAGGACTCGCATTAAGTATGCATTGCCTCTTGATCCACTGCTTCGTTCTCTCTGCTGGGTTGCTTCTACACGTGGGAGCTGCAGGTACTCTGCAAGGTTTCTGCCCAAAATGCAAACGCCAATCCAGTTGGGGTACACTTGTTCAGCCCACTCTGAAACGGTTCGGTTCCGGAAGCCCCAGGTCCCAGAGAGCGTAGAAAAAGAATCGAAACCATGTCCTGGCACTGATTCCACGTTTGGGCAAGCCAACGCAAACAGGGCCTCGTTTTTGGGATTCCAACAGCGAGGGACAAGGGATTTAGTGGGTCTTCGCGCTGGCTCAAGAGCCGACCAACTCACCCGGGTCGCCGCACCCGTCAAGGACCTCGAAGCGGCGCACGCCCTGATGCCACCTGGCAACCATGGATCCCATGCCACAAACATTCAGAGCAAGTAATGCTGTCCCTGGATTGATAAGGGGCTGATTTTTTGAGGGAACCCAATCAAAATGGTGGGTTTTACAGTTTCCCCTTAAAAAAAGAAGAGACTACAGAGGAGAGGGGCACCTTCAAGAAACGACAGACCCATATTGGTGGTTTAGTGGGGGTTCGCCATTTTAAGGGAACACCCTATCAATAGGACACGCTTATTTTTCCGGGGCCAACATTTGTGGGGAACAACCTGGACACCCGAGTCAAGTTCTCACATAAATGGCTGACTTGAAAGCACTCGGCCAGACTCAAACATGTCATGAATGCCAGAAAGAAAGGTGCCTGTGACAGCTTGCACGTTGTGCAACTTGCGGCAAAATTATCCAGGAAGCAAGCAGCAAAACTTCGTTCAGGAATCGACCGCGCGGAGCTCCCTTTCCAGCACTCCGCGCGCGTCTCATCTTCAACCGCAGTCTCCTGTCGGAGGGATCTGTCTGAGAACTGGGAGTACGTTTGCCCAAATGGGGGGGCTCTAAATACAGGGTTAAGGATTCCAAGGGCATCCTGTAACTCAGCTGGTAAATATGGTCTTTTCACTGGCCCAATGCTATCCTTTCAGGGACCCTCTAGAAGCCAGCCAGAAAGGGGTCCAGGTTGCGACGTTTTCGGAAGAGAGGCATCTATTCGTAGCAGGGTGCTAAGTCACAAGTACGACAAGAAGGATACGACATCAGCCCTTCCAAGACAGACATCCCTTCTGAACTAGCAAAGCCAGCCAGCCCCCCGCCGCCCCCCCCCCCCCGGTTGAAAGGGAAACCAGCATGACATCAACAATCCGGCTGTGGGCCGATTGTAACGCCACAAATGCTTGAGCGCCCTCCATTCAAACACCAAAAAGCAAAAGCAACAATACATCTCGGGAAAATGTGTGCGTGTGTGTGTGAAATGTAAAGGTGCTGTCTCCCTGACACGTAACCAGCTCACGCTTGTTGTGCTCATTTCCTTGAAGAAGTCTTTAACACCTGAGGTTGCAGTTCCGAAGTGAATTAAGGGGACAAAGTCCGTATCAAAAAAAAAAAACTCGGTAAGGGCGGATATCCTCCCAACAAGCACCTCCCAACCTTCATCCAGTGAATTTGTGAAGTTACAAATTAAAACAAATGTCTCTTGCGCGAAGTGGCCCGCTTTCGAAACGCAACCTGCGCCCCAGTCATGGTGAAAACCCTGATGGCAGATTCCGCAGTGGCAAGGGTGGCCCTTTGCTGGGGAGGAAGCCAAACTCCCCAGAACCCTCAGAAAATGAATTTAGAAGAGGTTCTTGACCGAAAGGCTCTGAGAACTTGGTGGAAAGCCGCCCCCATTTTCACGATTTCCAACCGTCGCAAAGGGACACATGCCGCCAACCCAAGCATGAGGCCTTTTGAAAGCCTATGTCACAAAAAACAAATGTGGCTTGCAGTCGTGCCAAGTAGAAATGAATCCCAACCCCCCAACCCCAACCCCCAGCCCATCCCTCGCTCCTCATGGTGCTCACCCCTTTCGGCCTTTGTTTTCGCAACTGGGCCGTCCAGGAGGGCCAGCCGAGGCCCTTCTTGGCCGCGAAGAGCTCCCACTGAGGCGCCAGCAGCCGGTAGAGCAGCATGGCCGCCCTATCAGATCAGGCACGGGGCTCAACATGTGTGGGTCAAAAATAGGTACCCCAAATGGAATCCTGGCAAATGGAACCATAAAACCTGCGGTCCGATTCCTGGTGGTTTAATTTTGACCCATATCCATGTGTGGGGGGGACTCTTTGGTGCTTCCCTGTCAAATTTCATAGCCATGCATGGTTCCAAGAAACCGGGGGCTATCATTTGACCTGAACCTCTTGTTTTCAACAGTGAGCCATTCCAAACCCCTAAACCTAAGTGCGAGCCCGTATTCATCGCCTGCGAATAGGGGGTGCAACTGATCCAGATCCTCTCCAAAATGGGTTGCACTCCCCCCCCCCAAAAAAACATAGAGGTGTCATGTTGACTTCAAATGAGTCCAGAGTACCAATCTAATCAGGGCCGGTTCCCCTTTTGGCAAGGAAGCAATCGACTTTGGGGGTTCCTCTGAGTAGGGCCCATCACTCAACTGGACTCCTATGGGTTCCAAACGTATCGCAGGCACCCACCCAAAAAAACAATTATATATAGATATATATATATATACATATGTATATATATATATATATATGAGCATATGAGTGGCCAATCGCGTTTTTCAAGGGGGCGGGGAGATCCTCCCCCATGACACGCAACGCTTCCCCATGCCTCGCGTCCTCCACGGAGGAGTGGGCACCCCGCTGGAGCTGGTGGTCGTCCAGCCAGCAGGCAGCCAGAGCGCGCAGCGAGGGGAGGCCTCTCAAATGCAAGTGCTTGGCTTTGTTGCAGGATTGGCCCTACCCACCAAAATGGCCCCTTGGTAAATGAAACCAAAGACTAAAACCTGCGTAACCCTAGCTCTTTAATTTTGAGACACAGCCCGTGGTTAAAAACCACTCAAGCAGCCAAACAAACGTTACGCTTGAAGTGCAAATCATTACAGCCCTGTCTCCCAAATCTAACAGGATGAGAACTTAAAACCGGAAGCCTCTGAGGTTCCAAAGGGGCGTTATGGTTGAGGGTCTTGCCGGCTTGCACTTGCCAAGCCGGTCCGTGGTTGACAGGATAGTGTCTTTTGAAAACAGGAAAGAAGCATATAAACGTCTGTCTGACTAAAGTATTGCCTAAACTACCTCCTTTGGTTTCCCCTTGAAGGGGGCCAGGAATTGGTTGTTACAAGATTTTTGCCCAGCTCCGCCTTGTTGCCCCTTTGAACCAATTTGGGCCACATTGTTCATCAGGGTGGCTCACAAAAAACAAGGCTTGCAATTTGGGCCGAGTGAAACTCATCAAATCAACCAATACGTTTGGCCCATGCTCGCTCCCTTGGGCGGGCAACGAGTTTGCAGGTCGCCGTCCCCTAACCGCCAAAATCAATGGCTGGGCCACACATCCGAGTGTTGGGAGTGCTTCAGGCTCTTGAGGAACCCTTGTTCGCAAATGCAGAACTACTTTCTTTGGCAAGAGTAGGAATTTGAGGGAAGAGCTGCCATTCAGGGGCCATTGCAATCGGGGGCCAATCGGGTGCCAAGGGAAATGCCTCGGAAACCCAACGTGCACCCTCCTCCCTCCCGCGCGCCTAGGGGCGGGGGCTCCAGGCCCTCCTTCAACGCCGGGAAGAAGGCGGTGTCTCGCAGCATCTGCTTCTCCGCCTGCGCGAAAAACGCGCGGCTCGCGGACGCCGCTCGCGCCGTTCGCGGATTTTGGTTGAAGCCGACAACGGAGAGAACCCCAGCGCCATGAAAGTCCCGAGACATGGCCATTTTCAGTGTGCACCCAGTCAGGTTCCCTGTTGGGTATCCCGAGTTCGGCCCTATCCAAAGCCTCGTGGCGTTCTTGCCTCTCATGGCAAAGCCCCCAGATTCTAGACCACGCCTTCTGAATCAACCAAATGAACAACATGAGACAGTGAGGAATACGCTTGATATGGTTGTGACGACTCTTTTAATAAACGTTTGCAAGCATATATTCACAAGTAGTGTCCTTGTCGATTAATTAAAAGTAAGGGATTTAGAATATAACTATACATCATGACAATTAACAGTGTACAGTTTATCCATGTTCAAACCATGCAGCATGATTTTAGATTTGGAGGTTATCACCGTTTTAAGTAGAAGCTCAGCTTGCAAAAGGTGATATCTACAAATTGCCATGTTGGAGAGAGGGTATTTTCAAGAATGTGGCAGGCATGCGTGAGCTTCATTTGCGGGCTTGGCAAGGCTGCAGGGAAAGGCTGCCGATTGCTCAAAGAGACTCGCCCCATTCGTGAGTGTACTCTTTGCAGTTGTTTTAAAGGAACACCAAACAACAACCACCATTGAACTTCGTGTTTGGGGGTGCAAATCCTTATTTTGATACTCAGCCATTTGACCATCCGCCTGGCCTAGTTATGTGTTGCGTGCGCTGCCAACTTTTGTTGTTTTTCGTTGTTCGCTTTGACGCCAAAAGGTTGCACAGCAGAAATTCAAACATCAACGGAAAAGGTCGTGTGTTTGGCCTCTAAAGGCCAAGCCGATGCACTTGACTGTGCTTGGGTGGTCTCTCCGTGTGTCGAAAGTCTTGCTCCCTCTCAGCATTCCCGGAGCTGAAGGTCTTGAGCCGAGTGGTCTCGTGCCATGGAGCGGTCGTAAGGTTACAACCACCAGAGACGAACCATCAGCAAGACCCGAAACGGAGCGAGCGCCTTCAGGTGATGTGCAAAAGCCGGCTATTTCCCATGGAGAAACGGATCGCGACTCTGGCGTGCAGGCTTCATGCCAAGAGTGCTAAGATTTGCCGTTCGAAGATCCAAGACTCGGAACGCCGCGTGCGTTCGTCGCATCGTCCAGGCAGCAGGCGCACCAGGAGAAACAAAGCCAAGCAAAGAAACAAAGCCAAGTAAGGCAAAGAAAAAAAACAAGGCGTAGGGTTAGGGTTGGGGGAGTAAAACGCTCTCCAAGATTCCGCTCTAAGGACCTTCAGGAAGAGGTGAATTACACTGAGTGAGTTTGCAACAGCGGAGAGTTCGATCCCGCTCCCAAGTCACTGGACACGGATAGAAGCGAACTGACGCCATCAGAACACTACTTGCACGGTTGGTTGTTCCGATTGGATGCTTGTGGTTCTGCCGTGATGACGCGAGCGTCAGTTGTTTTCTATCTGCAATTGAGTCAAAATCAAAACCCGGTACAACAATGGTGCACCCAGAACCACGTAAAGAACAAAGAAGGCGCCCGCGGCTATTTATGGTTGGGATTGTCCCTTACTAACCTTCATCTACCCGGATTTTGCCTGTGGCTCAATTATTGTTTGGTTGGTTCCCTTCAGGTAAAACGCTACGCTCTATTGCACCAGGCCTTTCGCGTACTGCAAGAC